GTGACTTTGCAGCTCTTCCCATCAAAATGTGAGGTCTGTTTTCCCTACCTTCAAATCTGACCTGGCCACATTGATCAACAGAATGTGGCAGAAGTGATATGTGATTCTAGAACCTGGGCCTCGAGAGGTTTGTAGCTTCCACCTTTTCCTTCTTGCAGAACTCCCCTAAACCATCATGTAAAGAAGCTGGGGTAGCCTACCAGAGGAAGAGAGGCCACGTGGAGAAGCACTGAGCTGCCCCATTCTGCAGCCAGCACTGATGGCTAGTCATGCAAGGAAGGCTATTATCAATCTTCTAGCTCAGCTTACCCTCCAAGCTAAATGCACCTGCAAGGGTGAGCTCAGGTGACACCAGCAGAGGAACCACCCAACTAATCAACAAAATCATGAGAAATAGTAAACTGTCATTTTGTTAAACTACTAAGTTTTGGGGTGGTTTGTTATACAGTGATGGAAAATGGATACAAGTACCCACCTCCCAGAGTAAATGAAAGTGCTTAGCATAGTTCCTGGCACACAAATCTTAGATATTATTTTTATCTCCTAGATTCTCTTCTTTGTAGATACTGCACAGTGTCTCTTCATGTTTCATTCCTCATAACTCAGAGGGACTGTTGATGAACGGGAAAGACATAAATACATGCCACTTTTCCAGCCCCATGTTCCAACCCCAATTCATCCTTTGATTGTGGATCTAGAACACTATGGTCACTGCATAAACATTAATTAGTAGTAATGGCATACAGAGCATTTCCAAGCATAAAATCTTAGTATTTCAGTTCTTATTCTTCTCTAGATTTCTATTTCAGTTTAAGTGTTCTAAATTCTACCTCGTGGTTACATGTGATGGGAACCAAAGGAATGACAGATAATTTAATAGTGTCACTAATTAAAATAACAAGTAGGAACTCCTGACTATTTCTGGATGAAGACACCATTTGAAACCATGTATTTGAGATCTTCATCAATATACATTCAATTTCTGTACATGGGAAAATGATTACAGGGCTCTTACACTGTTGAAATCTTTTCTACATTCTTAGCAGAGTGCTGGTCCTACATGCAATGATTTTGACTACATTGTATTATGATTTTATTTATTATTTATTCTCACATCCCCCATAATGTCAGGCAAATAGAAAGCACAAAATAAATGAGTACAGAATAGATGATTGGACTAAAGTGAAAAAATCCCCAAGTTTCTTTAAAATGCAAATTTTAGGTAAGAATTGAAATCACTTTCTAACTCTCTATTCCACCCCATCCCAGTTCCTCCACCTCTCTCCTTCCCACTCCCCTACCTCTTATTAGGTTACTCTATTCTCCTTTAGGTTTATTTCAGATATTCCTTTTACCAGAAGATACTTCCTGAAACCCTCACACTACTTAGGCACCTTGCTTTGTATTCCATAAGAGCCTGTGTATATTTCTACTTCCCTCAACACCACAGCAGATAGTGAGTTCCTTCAGGGCAACAATTTTGTCATTTATCTTTGTGTCTCAGTGAAAGGCAGCCATAACAGCTATTATTTCCTAAATGCTTACTAAGGACCAAGTACTGTAGTAAGCATTTTACATGCATTATCTCTCCCAATCCTTGTAACAGCCTAGGAGGTAGAGGTTCCATTTTATAGATGAGGAAACTGAGGCTTAGAGAGTTTAAGTAATTTGCCAGGTCACTAGCTAGTAAGAGGCAGAGTCAGGGGTTTGACCTCAAAGACTGAGTTCTCAACTACTCTGTTCTGACACTAGTTAGGTCTTCAAGAAAAGTTTGTTGAGTTGATGAACATTTTCTAAAGTTATTAAATTGAACAGTCATCAATGTCTCTTCCCCTTTCTTCTCTTATAATTTTTTTTGGGGGGGAGTTGAAGGGTGATTAAGAGATGAAATGGGGGAAATTAGAAGGGAGGAAAAGGAACTGGAGAATTAGCCCCTGAATGAAACACTATATTATTATGTATTAAATATTAAACTCTATATACACACAAACTTTAAAACACTAAGGCAATAAAAAGGTGCATGGCCATTCAACATGACCATCATACCTGAACACTGATGGTAGATGGGACATTTGCTACCCAAGTGGTCAACAATTCCACCCACTTCCATACCACTTCAAGCGACTCATTTTCCCAGCACTCCATTCCATTCTCCTCATTCGATTTCCCTGCACTCTGCTCTACTCCACTCCACTCTTCACCATCCCATTTCATTCCACTCTTCTCCATTCCATTCCATTCCGTTCCATTCCTCTTCATTCCACTCCATTGCACTTCATGCCATTCCATTCCCCCCGCATTTTGCTTCACTCCATTCCACACCTTTCTTTATCTTTCTACAAACTTTATAACGTATTAAGCACTACGTTCAGATGCTGGAGATGCAAAGTTGCATAAACACAGTTCTTATCCTCACATTCGGATTTTTCCCATCATCACCTGGTACCAGACCACCTCAACTCACAGCCTAGTTATACTAAGTCAATCCCAAATCATCACAGACCAGGGCTATCTGATAAAGAAAACAACTGACACACAAAGAATTTCTTTTTACTGAATTTGAAGCAATTAAGTTGAATGATTTTATTTCTCTTTTATGCTCTTCTAGGTATTGAGATAGAGTACCTTTCAAAATTACTTTCAAAGGACAGGAATTTTACCTCTCAAGTGACTTTTCCCTTCCAAGTATCTAACTACAGCTATTTATAATTAACTGTTACAGAGTAAATGTTCATGCTAAATCAAATGATGATCTAGCAGAGATGCCTTGACTAAAGCATTAGAGTCATGGAAACTGCAATTTTAGAAACTGCCTTTGGAAGGATCATAGCTTTTACACACTCATCTTCCCAAGACATGGTTAAGATTTTGCCTGAGCTTCAAGGAAAAACTGGGACATGAATCATGACTTGATGAATACTCAGTATGTAGTCATTCTGGTGCCCCATCTGGGAGTTCATAAACATTGCAGTGGATTTCACTTTAGAAGAAGACAAAGAAACAAAACCCAAAACACACCCTGCTCTGTATTTACCATGACCTGAACCTGTAAATCCAACTCTGACGCTAGGTCACATGAGCTCTGTAACACAGTGCTGGGTTGGCCCAAGGGCCAGTGTGCCGGCCGCAGAGCTCTGGAGCTCAGTGTCCTTGACTCATCCCAGTAGAGCCTGGCCACCCCTGGGAGCTCTCTCTGTGTTTGTTTCACAATGGTCAAATGTGAGCAAAAATGGGGAAATAGTTTTGCTAAAAGGCAATCCTTGAGTGTTCAGGCAGATATGTTTCTATTATAGTTATTATTCAGCATGTTTCTTATTTGACATACTTCATATAGATATCAGTATAGTATGTGATATATATGATATATATCTATCAGTACAATCTATGCTTAATTCTTTTTCTGTACTAATATATATGTGTATAATATATGCTATATACTTAAAATATACACTTAACTTTTTGTGTGTTAGTTGTGGAAAAAATTATATATAATATATAGAAATATATATATATATATTTTCAGATGTGAGTACTCTTACAAACTGATGTTAGAATGACATTTTGGCTGAGACACATTCAACCTAAACAAGAAGGTGCTCCACCAAGAAGCATTCAATTTCAAAATAACTGGCAAATCTCACTGACATCCATGGCTAGAAGGGCTCAGGAGTTGGAGATTTAGGGAAAGTACGGTGCCAATTCATGATGGCAACCTCAAGTACCAGTTCTCCTGCTCTCATTTCCTGTCTCCCCTCCCCACTTTCCAAGCCCAGACAAGTCTGAACCCGTAATGATCAGAGTAGGAGAGGTGGGTAAAAAGCTAGGTGGGAAGTGGGAGATTTTGGTCAAGTTCCCTTTTTCTACTTTAAGCCCAAAGGAATGGGGTGATAGGAGAGGAAAAGCTAACATTTAAATTGAATTCAGAGTCTGGGTTACTTCCTGAAATTAATATCTTTGTTAATAGGTTGAGAGTGAGTGTTGGGTTTTAAAGTAATATAAAGAGCATCCAGAAAAGTCATCAGACCTTCCTAAATTCTATTCAGAGGTAAGGGAAGCACCAGTTTGCAGGGAAGATTTATAGTAAAGGAAAAGTGGAGATAAAAACAAAGTTCCACAAGTTGCTCAGTGTTGGTTATGTTTGCTTTGTGATTAATAAGAAGTATGTGCTTACTAGCCAGGAACCATACACAATAGCAAATTCTGCACAATGCAAAAGAAAGCAAAACCCTAAAATGGGTGTTAAGTCATATGCATAGTGTTGGGCTTCTACTTTCTTTCAATTATTTGGTTTATTAGAAAATGGCTAAAGACTGCCAAATGAAACAGCATTTTTTATTCGCCTTTGCAAATTACACTTTTGGAATGACAATATTATTGCCCCAAAGGGTGGCCTATAACCCTGAGTGGTAAGCAGAACTGAGCGGATGAACACTTCAAGCTGAAATACTACGTGAGCAGACTCTACGACCGCACCATCGCCGCTCCCCAGGCATCGGACCCGTCTGTCATTTTCGGGCTGCCGATGCGGAATTGGTATGTGACTTAGCTTATTTGACCATGTTCACAAATCAGTCCTAGATTCCTGAACCTTCCATTGCTTTGTGAAGAGTCACAAAGAGACCACTCTCTTATGAGCAGAAACGACTGTGACATAGATGCAGGGGAATTTGCAAGGTACTGATGTCAATTTCTATTTCCTGTTTTTAGGTGATGCCTAAGACTGTGAACCCTGACTTTGGTTCAGAACTGTGGCCAACCTGCAGGAGTGTGGTTTTGACATCGCAGCCTAATTATCTTTACCTTATAAAGATGTAGAACTTTTAGTACTATCTCGAAGATTTTTTTCATCATGCAAAATGCATTCATGCATTGTTAGCAGCCAGGACACAGAGGACCTAATCACCCATTGAGTAATGGCATTGCCAGCAGAGGGAATCTGTTCAAGCAACGGGCTTTCTGAGACCCTTCTAAGTCACCCTCCACACCCATTCTCCCCTTACCTGTTCCGTGGTGCTGGAGAAGGGCCGAATAGTCCAGGGGACCCAAGGTGTCTCTGTAATTCCAGTCATCTGCAGATCGGGGTGCTGCCTCTGTCTGCTGTTGTGGCTGGAGTGTTCTGTTGTACTTCTGGTGAAGGCTTCTGTGGTGTTCCTAATAAGGTGTTCCAGGCTATATGGAAGTGCATTTAAAGTAGTGGGGATTTGGGGCGGAGCCGTGTTTCTAGTGCTCCTCACTGAAACTTCTGCTCCCAGGACAGCTGAGGTAAAGAAAGGACAGTTGCTAAAATTACCTTCATGTTTTGTGGATTCTTCACATAAAAGCAATTCAACTTTAAAAAAGAAGACATTTTTCATAACAGGCATGTGGATGAGTTTCAGTTATATGAAAAATCAAGGGTCTTGGAGTGTGACAATGCCAATTTGCCCTGTTCAAGCCACCCATCCTTTATCCATCTATTGATATCATAGGGTCAGGGGAGTTGTGGAAACTGCTCCCACAAATCCCCAGCTCTGTGTAGAAGACAGAATTAAATTTATTCTATGAGCATTGAGGGAGTCACGAAATTGGCTTCAGGGGGTCTGTGAATCTTGAAAAACTTCCTGCCAAGTCCTGAATATATGTCCATGTATACTTTTTTTTCTGTGGGGAACTTTCAGAGCTTTCATTCAACTTCTCAAAAGGGTCATTAAACAAAATACCAGGTTGAGAATCACAGCTAACAACTTACCTAACTTCGTCATGAAGACTGATGATTCCCAGGAAAGCAATGACTTTCTCTTACCACAGTGTAAACTGTGTGAGTACCAGATCCTGGGATGGTTGTAGTTTCTAAGCTCCCTATCTGCTGGAAGGACAGTCAGGTGATTTAAAGCTTATGAGCTGGTGCGGTTAATTTATAGCTTTACTTTGCAAGGCTGAATTGTCCATACCTAAAAATAATTGATTTATGAATTAGGTTCACCTAGCCATAATTTTAAAACGTGCTCTCCGTCTGTTGGGAATCTTGCTAACTATGCGAATTTTGATTCAGTGAAGATCGTCAGAGCCCGACCTCCTCACAGGCCCCCAGGAGATGCCCCTGCTGGTGCTGATGGTCTTCGGACCACACTTTGTGTAACAAGACCTAGAGAACAATTGTATAATATGAAGCATTGGAAAGGTCTGTAAATTAGGGGCTGACGTGGTATGTTTAGATGCTTCTATCAACTCCATCATATGTCAGGGTTTCCTGGGACATAGAATCTTGCCCAATTAGATAACTATAACTTTGAAAAGTTTCTGGTTTACAAACTGGCAGACAAAAGATTTTATTTTTCACCACTCCTTTAGTGGTTCATTCAACCAACTATTTCTTCTTTTTTTTTTTTCAAGATTTATTTATTTATTTTAGAAAGAGAGCGAGAGAGCAGAGGGGAGGGGCAGAGAGAGAGGGAAAGAGAGAATTGCAAGCCGACTCTGCCCTGAGCGCAGAGCTGACCCGGGGCTCGATCCCAAGATCCTGAGATCATGACCTGAGCTGAAACCAAGAGTCAGATGCTTAACCAACTGTGCCACCCAGGCGCCCCACAGCCATTTCTTAAGCAACAACTATGTACTGGTGAAAGTCCCCTGAAGAGGCTATTGATGTTGGCCTTTCCCCTGTTCCGGTCCACCTTATTGAGCCCTCTTTTGAATCTCATTTATTTCCATTCCAATTTCAACTGACGTATTTTATGTGAGTATAAAGAAGAGGGGGATAAGGCACAAAAACAGGATAAAAACAGAAAAAGTATTTTTAAAATTTAGTAAGATGTGAACATCAGCAGTTCTCTTAAAGCTTCTTTAGTCTCTTAAATTTCATGAAGTAATCGTGACTATCAAGCATCCTTCCCTTGAGATGTGGAAGGTCATGCAAACCCTGTACGGGGGGGTTGCCAGACTTAGCAAATAAAAATACATGATGCCCAGTTAAATTGGAGTTTCTGATAAAGAATTCATAATTCATAATTCAGTTAGCATATCTCAAATATACAATATTGCAAAGGTTATGTTACATATGACATATTATATTGGGAATATACGTATACTGAAAAATTGTAACTTATCTGAAATGCAAATGTAATCAAAGGTTCTGCATTATACCTGACAACCCTACCTGTACATCTACTAGACCTAGACTTTGATAGATTTTTGGACATTCCCACTAGTTTCTGTTTGTTTTTTCCTTCTGAATCTTGTGCCGCCCCCACTGTTACTGTGCCCACGTCTCCACTCTGAACATAGACCAGATTTATTTATCCCTGGGATGTTTTCTACATGACAAACCCACTTGTTCTATTAGCAATATTCTTTTATGATAAACTCTAAGAAGCAGTCTTAATTTTCCAGTCTTAATTGAATTAGGTGCTAGAATGTTCCTTCAAGCAGACATTTGCCTGTTGTTGGGATATAAACATTTCTGTATGTGGCGATTAGTATTTTGGTTATTTTGAGCTTTGGCTAATGCTGACCCTCTGAGTTGACTACCACTTATGACGATTTTAGCTTTCAGACCCTCAAAAAAAAATTTAATGATGGGTTAGGACAAAAACAAGCTTCCAAATATGTAGCATGTAATTATGTGTCTTAGCATGTCAACCTATGCTTACTCTTCTTCACTAAGGAGCAGTTGGTAAGTTCTTATCCTAAGAACTTTTTTTTATTAGTCAACTTACATGATTAATTCAATGGATGAATCAGGACTCTCCCAAAATTAAATAAATGATCAAAACACTCTTAAAAATTTCTTCTGTGAATAACATAGCTTATTACCATTACATGTAGCTTTGGAACATCTTATGGAAAAAATGTCAGTCTTCTGTGATTGTCTTTAATTAACCTTCTAAATGTATTTTTAAAACACTCCAAATGAAACAAGTCCATTTTCCTTTTTAGGCCACTACCTTTTTTCCAAAGGAAGAATCTAGAGAATATCCAAGGCCAGTACCCCTTCATTTTGTGACTGTGTTTTTAACTTGTGCTATTTAAGAAGCAGGAAAGAAACTTCAGTCTTAACATTCAATTTCCAAATTTTGTGCATTTTAAAGCAGTGGTCTGCAAACTCTGGTAGGCATCAGAATCCCCTTTGGAGCTTCTTAGAATACTGAAGTCTTGGCCCTTCACTAAGAGATTTGGTGTGGGAACCAGCACCTGCAGGTCTAAGTTTCTTAGTGATTGTAATATATCTCTAACTATAAGGTTTTATCCATATACACAATATGAGCCAAACTGAATTCTAATCATTCTTTACATGGGTATTGAAGGATTTTAAAGTAAATGGGAGGAGAGAAAATCCATTACAGAAATATATAAGGCAATCAAAATACATTAATCTTTTCATCTCCTGAACTCTGTTGAAATGGGTGCTATGAAATTATATTAAAAATAGTAGATCTTTGGATGTTTTGGTATCTACAAATTCTTCTGATGTTCTTTAAAAGGGTATATACATTTTACAGTTCATGAAAGAGCAAGATGTGTTTTGACACATGCAAGGAAAAGTTCTTACACAATGGAACAATATGTTGAAGCTATTTTTAAAAAGCTTTATTGTACCATTGCTACCACATTGTTTCCACATTATACATAATTCCTCTTAGAACACAATTCAAGATAAGAGACACCATCCCGGGTCCAATTTAATAGATTTTAGCACGTAAGTTGTAAAGAGCTCATCTATAAGATGATTTGCAATGACAGTACCATACCAAGACCATATTTTGAAAATATATTTTTAAAACACAACACATAGTTTATCAGTTAGTCTATGAATTAGCTCAGATATGATCAATAATAGAAATGTGATTTTTGTATAACGATAATAAAAATACACAATTTGTTAATTCCCCTCCCTTAAATGATACGAATAACTTTCAAGCATGTTGAAAACAGAATAACTTGAACAGAACACATTTTGGAGATAGAAAATTTCAACTATATTGGGACTTGCTTTTCTGTAGGAAGATGCCAAATATAATATGCCTTTTAAAAGCGGGGAAATAATGTGGAAAAGATATAACCAATGAAACAGAAGTTACCTTAGAAAAAGGATGATTTATGTTTATATATTATACATTAAATATATTAAAGAAGATTGCTCTAGGCATGTGGTCTGGGTGTCTTTATAATAATCACCTGTGACCAACAAAGAATAACCAGACCCTAGCTTAAGGTTTCTAAAGGTTCACGATTGGTGAATTTAATATATAAGATTGGGGCGCCTGGGTGGCTCAGTCGTTAAGCGTCTGCCTTCGGCTCAGGTCATGATCCCAGTGTCCTGGGATCCAGCCCCGCATCGGGCTCCCTGCTATGCGGGAAGCCTGCTTCTCCCTCTCCCACTCCCCCTGCTTGTGTTCCCTCCCTCACTGTGTCTCTCTCTGTCAGATAAATAAATAAAATCTTTAAAAATAAAATAAAAAAAAATTAAAAAAAAGAATAACCAGACCCTAAAAAGGAAGTAAGCCATTGAAGATGTTATCAATAGAGATGTTAAAAGGATTTAAGTTCCCTGGTTAGCTTTCTATAAAAGACCAATCTTAAAGGCCCTTGTTGGCAAACCTGTAGGGACCCCTTTCACTCTTGAGAGCTTTTTCTGTATCTTCACTTAATAAACTTCTATCGCTTTACTCACAAAAAAAAAAAAAAAAGGAGGGGGATGTGAATTATAATAGTCTAAATAATTTCTAGAAATGGTAAAAAGAATAACATTTCAGAAAATGTCATCAATAAAATAAAGGGTACATAAAAAAAAAAGGGTACATATTTAAATTTGAGAAAGTAAACCAGGAGGTGAAAAGTTTGTGAAGAGATACCAAAGACAGAGAATTTGCAAACAGTGGGAGACATAACAAATAAATCAGAAGTCATTAGAATTTCATTGGCTATTAGAATATTCAAAAAATACTTTACAGACTTAAAAAAGATCCAAGATTAGAAGTAAAGAAAGTAAAATTAACAAATGGAAGTTGACAAGGCATAGGAAAACATCAAAGCAGAGCATAGTAAAAAAAAAAAATAAATGAAAAACTAATTAAAACAGTACCTTTTAAGAGCCAGTAACATAAAAAAAAAAAAAAACAAAGCCAATTATTACTCAACTACTATACTAGGAGTTGCATTAGGAAGATGTGCCTGGTGTATCCCATGTTTTCTTTTGGGACGTGTATGTATATTAGATGGTGGGTAGAAGGAAACTAGGCTGCCTAGAGGAGGAAGAATGGCTTTTAAATTCATCACTATCAGGGTGTGGGAGAGGGATGCTGAAGCAGGTGCTACTTTACTAGGGTCAGGAAAAAGGGAGATGGAGAGTGCGTGAATTACTTGGTGTGCCCACAATAGGCACAGTGCCTAGGGCCCATGAGATTATAAGGCCTACAAAATCATTTAATTTCCTTAAAAATTAAAAAAAAAAAAGAACTTTCAGAGTCAAAGAAAATGTTTGTTTAATATTTTTTTTTCCCACACAATAGGAAAAAATGAGGATTTGGAGGCCCATGAAAATCTATTAAATTATTTAATTGATTACTTTATTTTGGGGGGAAGGGAGGGCCCCACAAAGACATAAGAGCTCGGGGCTCATGAAAGTCAGATGTAGCCATGGGTGTGCCCTGATGAATTCACTGACATGTCACAGGCTGAAAATGGTTGAGGGGCTCTGGATGCTGTGCTAGATATTTTTCAATGATCACATAGACCATCTATCAGTAATCAATGATCATATGATTTCCAATGATCACATAAATCAAAGGTCAATAGCAAGGCCTATGTTTCTATAATCATGTAAGGAGAAAACAAACCCTAACCCTATGACAGCCAATTTGGTCAAAGTAGGGTTTGTATGTACAAAAGTCACTGTGTTTTGTTTTGTTTCGTTTTCCCCCTTAAGCTCTCTGTATTTACAAGCATTCTCACCAATCACTAAAGGAAACAGCTTCTATTAAAACCCTTTCTCCCAAGAGTATACAGGATTGCTTACCTATTACAGCGCTTATGCATTTTATTCCCTCACCCACATAACTACAATTAAACAATTACTTTAATCAGCAGTTACCACAAGTCTGGCAGCAAAATGGTTTTTACTTCAGCAGCGAAATCTCTTTAAGTGATTTCACTAGCTCAGTCATGTTAGGGACATTTGAAAATATGTCTGCAAAAATTTTCCTGAATGAGTGAATCTATAGTAAATGCTAAGTAAGTGCTGATTGGTTAGCCAACATCCTACATACAATGTTACTTCTCCCTACAATACGAAACACCTGAGTGAAAGTAACTATTTTATTTATTTTTTTAAAAAGATTTATTTAGTTATTTGAGAGAGAGAGTTCAGGGGGAAGGGCAGAGGGAGAGGGAGACAAGCAGACTCCCCCTGAGCACAGAGCCCAACTTGGGGCTCCATCTCAGGACCCTGAGATTATGACCTGAGCTGAAATCAAGAGTCTGACGTTTAACCGACTAAGCCACCCAGGTGCCCCAAAAGTAATTATTGTAGATAGCCATCTAACTGTTTATAAGTAGGGAGACTTGGCATCCTTTGGAAAAGTGATGGCTGGAATTTTATACCCTTCATCTAGAAGATCTACAATTACTATGTTTAAAGAGTTTGTCAATTAGAGATTTGGACCTCAGAATGCATTTTTATTCCTAAAGCAATAATCTTTTTTAAAAAACTAAATGTGTGATCATGTAAAATTGCATTATTATTGAATAGAACAGAATTTGTTTTTTTTCCTTATTCTTTTCGCATTATTGATAACTGGTTTGTGTTAATTTATAGAATAAGATTCTGAAATTATATACAAGGGATTTCTAAAAATTATATTCTTAATACAATGACTCTAAAGACGTAGCTGTACAATGTAACACGAATACGTCTGAGGAAAAATTGAGTCTATCAGTTACCTTTTTGTTTTATTGACACATTGCTAAAGGTAAAATTGTTTCCAAAGAGCTGGATATCTGACACCTGATTGACAAAAGAATATAGGGAGAGAATGCATTTTTTCAATTTTTAGCCAGTTATGTTAGCATTTTGGAGATGATGTTTTTATTATTGCTCTTATGACTCAGAATAATAACTATAAAGGTCTAATTTTATAAATTGGTTATAAAATGTTGATTTTTCTTTTTTTTCAAGATTTTATTTATTCATTTGAGATAGAGAGTGAGAGAGAGAGACAGCACTGGCAGGGGAGGGGTTAGAGGGAGAGGGAGAAGCAGGCTCCCCACTGAGCAGAGAGCCCAACAACAATATATATAATTGTGCTACCAGATTATGATATTTAGTTATCAACGCTTTAAAAAAGGAAACTTGGAGTCATTCATTGCAAACATCTGAATGCCATTTAATTTTTCATAATGGGTTCTCTAGCTAATCAATGAGCTTTCGTGCTATGGGTCAACTCATATCATTCAGTATCTTTAATCAGTGGTAAGTTTGACATAGACCAGAAAAACATCTGTAAGCTTATAATTGTGTTAAAACAAACTATGTATTATACATGGGTATTCAAATACAAGATTTTTTTTTTGTACCACAATTGTGCAAATTTTCATTCTGCTTTTTTCTAGAAGTCCATTTTTCTTCCAGCCCACATTGTTGGACATGTTTTGGATACAGCATGTTCAGAGGTTAACTGTAAATGGTCTATTTCATCCACTTACTTTTGAAGTAAAGTCCATCATTGGACGTGTTCTGCATGAAGGCCAAAGGAAATCACTTTTTCCATTAATTATCTTCTATCTTGAATAACTCTTTGCTGATCCATATCTACTTTTTAAAAGTTCCAGTGAAACTTTCTGCTAAATAAGGTTCTATTGGGGGCTGGGAAAGAAACTTACTTCTTATGTTTAATGGTACAACAGGAATATTTATAATGTTTCTGTATTGTTTAGGACAGGCCTCACTCAATGAACTATAGGAAATGTACAAATTGGTGTTATGTGCTGTATATTCTCTGATAAAGTTGAATTTTCTAACTGACTTTTATAGTTTTTATCTTATTCTCATAGAAGTTTTATAAGCTCAGGACTATATAGTCAACTTCTATTGTAGAAGAGCCATTGCATTCAACTAGCATCTAATTAAATACTTATTTCATTTATGAAATGAATGAGTGACAGAAAACTGTCCAAGGATCAGCATGGTGAAAAGACTCATATAAGCCTCAAAAATAAACACCTAATAAAAAGATGTAAAAGTACAGTGAATGCTGACCCCCAAATGGGGTTATGGATCAAATTTTTTAAAAAAAATCAGGTATTAGCCCAAATTTCTTGAAACTGAATCTTGAAGGTGGTAGGAGAGAAGAAATGATGGCAATGAGTTCCTTCCCTCCCCCAGGTGATTCTTATGTAGTCAGTTGGGCAAAATTCTGTGGTTAAGCATTTGGAAAACACTGTATGATGGAATGTATACTGGACAAGGAGTTAAGAAATTTGGGTTCCAGTTAGACCTCTGCCACCAATTAGTCTGGGATAATTCACTTGACCTTGGTAAATTTCAGTCTCTTCAATGATGGGCCTCATTTCTAGATAATATCTCCAGTGATTTGTAAGGTCTGCTTGTACCTAATATATAATGATTCTATTAGTTTTTTTTTTTAAGATTTTATTTATTTATTTATTTGATAGAGAGAATGAGAGAGAGAGAGAGCATGAGATGGGGGAGGGTCAGAGGGAGAAGCAGACCCCCCGCTGAGCAGGGAGCCCGATGCGGGACTTGATCCCGGGACTCCAGGATCATGACCTGAGCCGAAGGCAGTTGCTTAACCAACTGAGCCACCCAGGCGCCCCGATTCTATTAGTTTTATCTTGCATGACTTCCTAAGGCAAATCTCTACTACAGGAGTAAATAAGCAATAAAATGATTAAGTAAAATAGAAAATTAAGGGTGCTCAGTCGGTTAAGTGTCAGACTCTTGACTTCGGCTTAGGTCATTATCTCAGGGTCCTGGGATCAAGGCCCAAGTCAGGCTCCCTGTTCAGCGGGAAGTCTGCTTCTCCCTCTCGCTCTGCCCCTCCCCTTGCTTGTGCGCACTCTCTCTCTCTCACTCTCTCTCAGATAAATAAATAAAATCTTTAGAAAAAAGAAAATTAAGCTGTATCCACAAAAAAAATCCCTAGCACAGGACTGAATTGGGTGCTGCACCAGGAATTTCTGCACTTGTATGCAAGTTTTTACTTGTACCTGTCATCTAGATTATATCCATCAACGGTCAACAAGTTAGAAAACCCTGTGGCTACACATTGGTTCTTACCATTTCAAAAGGTACCTCTTGTACCTCTAAACATTAGTACAAGAGATTTGCAAAGGTGCAATGTATTTTCCCATCTTTCCAGTCTTCTCAAACACCATTCTGATGATCTACTAGTTCCTCCTAATCAGAGAATAGAAGTGTCTACATCAGCAAAATTAACAATTTCCTGATCATTGGCTTTAGTCATTACATATGCCTGATTTATATTGCTACATTGAATGGTATCTAACCAAAGTGCCTACAATATGGTACAAAAGAGAAACCCAAGAAATATTTGTTTAATAAAAGCAGCAAGGAAAGAAGGGAAGGTAAAGTAAGAGGTATAAGGAAAGATGTTGGGCTTATTTAATGAGAATAATGAAGTTTTCCACATCAGTAGGAGCCACACAATCCATTTCCAATAGCTTATCAATCTCCCATAGACATTGTGTTGAGGTAAGCAGACATCCCTTTAATGTGAAACAAACAAACATAACATAACATGGAGCCGAAGAACGTTCAGAATCAATTCTGAAAAGGAAAGCTCACCTTTTTTTAAGCAGAGGCTTCCATTCACTGGTTTTCCCTCCTGGTTGATATCTATTTTCATCCAGCTATGGAGGTATTTCCTGTCCTTCTTGACCACTACCTTGGAGCCTTGTTTCTTGAGAAAGAGAGAGGTATTTTCCACCTCAAGGAACCCTTCCTGCTCATGGCAAGTCCATCGGGGTGCCTGGGAGCAGTGGGTAGAGATAGCTGATAGGGAAGGACCACGAGAATTGGAGATGCCCAGGCACAGAGCAGATTTAACATGAAGGAGTTTTCCATCCTCAGTCCACATCCACTGCTGGTTCTGGCTGGTCCCATCACACAAACCCACGACCACTCTCTTATTTTTGGAAAGGCACTCTTGTTTATGGACATGGACGATCTGAAACCCCTCTGGAAGATGAGATACTCATAAAGTACTATGTAGCAAATTAGAAGGCCCATCAGAAAACAAAATAACCCACCCACAAATCAGCCAAGTGACAATATGAGGCTTACTTATCTTTTGCTATTGCTATCGTTTTGAGTGAATATTCCCAGAGTCAACGCATGTAATTTAAAATCCCAAGGCTAACAGTGTCAAAATGTCATACTTTGCTCCTTTTCTTTTACTTTCCCATGGCTCAGGGAAGAAAACACACTCCCACTGAAATGATGAAGGGAAACTTGGGAAAGACACAAAACCATCCAAAAAATATGGTGTGATATTTGAACCCAATTAGTTAAATATGCTGAAGTTATGAAAAACCTCATTCCCTTTCTAACTATTTTAACTCTTTCTATCTCATTACCATCCCCCATTCTAAAAAAGCCCCTCTTTTCCAATTCTTAAGTTACCACTGTAGTATTTGTATACAAATTGCATAGTTTGAATACATGTTTAAAAATTGGATGTATTTATCCAAAAACAAAACAAAACAAATTTGCCCACCCATCTAAACCTTCTTAGCTATTAGCAACCAATGGAGGTAATGATGATCACAAACACCATTTCTTACAGTCCTGGAGAGAAGCATTTCTCTATATTGTGACAATATCTACAACAATCCCTCAATAAGTAATAGACTAAAAAATATCAGCATTTCTTGACATAAAAAAAAATCAAACATTCAATTGTTAAACATCGGTATTAAAAAGTGAAATATTCAGACTCAGAAACCATTTTCTGAACTTTTGCCTAATTTGCTCAGCTCTTTCATGAAAATATTCAGACCTTCCTTCCAAATAAAACACACCACAGTTCTTCACCCCTGTATTTATAGCTCCTTAGACTTTCTTTAACACACACAAAAAACAAACCTATAACCTGATAAGGGAAGAAACATGGAGAATGCCACAGACTGTTACACAATAATCAAAATTTCTCCTCAAGGTGCTTCACTCTGTGGTGTAAAGATGCCATTTCAGGAGCTGCCCAAGGCATTTGGAGGACATGAGGAGGCCATTTATTTTCTTTTAGAGAGAAATCTCAACGGTGTGGACATAGCTGGCTCCTTTAATTCTCCCTCCTCATCGTCTTTGGTTAAACTGCCATGAAGACCTGGCTCCATTTCTGCCGAGTTCAGACACTTTTCAAAGGACAGAGACTCCTCTGCTGGCTGGTGGAGAAACACCGCAAGAGAGAGGCAAGCCCACTCACCTGAATTCCCAAAGATCCAGCAGGTAAGAATCGCCATGTAAAATTCAGCCTCCATTTTCCACTTAACAACTGTTCATGCTTCGCTTGGGGGGGGAAAAAAATCTCCCAGATAAGAGAAGCAAAGGCTAGGAAGGAAATGTGCCTTCATGGTGGGGGAAAAAGTCAGTGACGAGCACTTCCTCCTATTGAATTGTTTGGGGAAGTTTTACACCAGTGTCCTTCTGTCTGTTTCCTTAGAAAGAAGGGATTATGATTACCTCTCCTTTTTTACGGAGAAAAAATTCTGGCCTCCAGGAGTAGAATAAAACTTCTAAGTTTTCTCCTGCATCCCTGTGGCACAGGACGAGTTCTTAACCTCAAGAGGGAAGAAAGGAATTGTAATCTTAGGTAATTGAATGTTCCTAAAACATTACATCTCTTCAGGTGATGTTGATTCTGCTGAATAAACACAAGCCTTGTAATTTATGAGGGTCTATGACAAGTCATATAAAGACATAAACATGTACTGTTTGTGTAATGATATGCTGGAAGTCTATTGCGGAAAACCACATAATGATGGCACTTCTAGATCATTATCCCTTAAGTGATGACAATATTACTTTGTGAGATAGTTATCTCCACTGGGGAGAGGCGGAGACTAAAATTAAACCCATCTCATTACCTACGTCAGGCTTCCCCCAAAAGATAATAGCTTCTTTCCAATAGGAAAAAAAGTAGATGCTTTACTCAATACTTAGTATTAAGAGGGGCGCCTGGGTGGCTCAGTCTTTAAGCGTCTGCCTTCAGCTCAGGTCATGATCCCAGGGTCCTGGGATCGAGCCCCGCTTCGAGCCCCGCATCGAGCCCCGCATCGAGCCCCGCATCGAGCCCCGCATCGGGCTCCCTGCTCAGCGGGAAGCCTGCTTCTCCCTCTCCCACTCCCCCTGCTTGTGTTCCCCCTCTCGCTGTGTGTGTCTCTCTCTCTGTCAAATAAATAAATAAAATCTTTAAAAAAAAATTACTTAGTATTAAGAGTAGTTTATTGGCAGTATGAAACAAAGTCAACATAGCTGCATTAAAAATTCATATTTGAGCAGAACATCTAGTGTTTGCTGAGTGCATTTTTTTAACTTTATTTGTCTCTTGAGGATTAAAACCTTTCAGAAATTTAAGAATATCCATGGCAGCATCCTTTTGAAGAACTTCTGGAAATGGGACAGGTTACTTCATTCCGAAAGGCATCTGCCTTTTTTGGGGGCGAGAGACTCTAGGTAGACAGAATATTCAAAAATTCCTTCTTAGTAAAAGAGAGACAGGTATTTAAAATTCTGGATACATTATAGTTGCTACAAATATGTTTTTCCCTTTTAAAGTAAAATGACTCACAATGTAGAAATACAGTGGCTGGGAGTTCTGGAGCAGAAACCACCTCTATGCACAATAATAGAGAGTAAATACATATACATCCAGTGACAACCATTGTGCTCTGTAATTGATTGACAGGAGGTACTGATAAATACACATTTAATAGGTAATATTATCAAGACACATTTCCATATAAAATAGTACTGCTTTTGATTTTTTTTTTCCAAAAACAAGGACTTATTTGTTAAAAATCTATTATCAATCACTTGCGACCTTAACGGCAAGATTCTGGTAACTGAGAAAGGTAATAGCACTTAAAACAGGAACAGTTTAACAGCTGACAATCCATTCACAAGACAGGTTTTGCAAACATTAAAGCATCTAAACACACAATAATAATTTCCTCAGCAGCTCTTCCAGTTGTTATCTGATGACATATGTCACCAAGGATTTTGTAACATACATTCTGTGTGGCAGATAGTCAATACGGACAAAACAAAATCCTCAGCGGTGTGAGAAATCTATTCTACCTCCATCAGCATAGGACCTTCCGAATAATTTCGGGGATGCTTACAAATGCATTCATATACACAAGGCGCTGGCGATCCGTCATTGTCGCCATCTTCCACAATCCGTGCCACAGCTTGGCCTCAGGACTTCTCTTTCCTTCCACTGCAGGAAGCTCCTTCTAGAAGCCTCAGGTGGGTAATTGGTTAACTACCCCTAGAGCTGGATGGTCTGGTCAATCTTCAGAGAATCACTGGACAGTTTCGGCCGAGAGTCTGCTCTCATACAGGCACAGAGCATGATGCACAAATTCATACTGCTCGCTGGTTTGGACCATTCCACCCCTACAAGGAAGAGATAATACAATAACTTCTTAGTGCTTACAGTCTGCAGTCTTAAGTCACAGAGATCTCATCCAAGCTAGGTACTATGCCAAAGACACAGAACAGTTGACTTGCTGATTCTTTTGTGATGCCTCTTACCTGTGTCCAAATGACCCCACTGGTGAGCCTAATATGCTAATGTATAGAAAGGCATTAACACAGTGCCCGGTAATCACTAGACACTTGATTAATTCCACCTACATACCATTACTGGGGAGGCGGGACTGCCTATTGGTTAAATACTTAGACTTTGGAACCACCCAGGCTGTCAGAGTTGAAATCCCTCCTATACCAATTCTTAGCTGTGAAATTCTTACACACATTGTCTTAAAATGGTCTTTAAGTATTTTATGGTTTTAATGTTATTATAAATATTGGTTTTGGGGGCGCCTGGGTGGCTCAGTCGGTTAAGCGACTGCCTTCGGCTCAGGTCATCATCCTGGAGTCCCGGGATCGAGTCCCCCATCGGGCTCCCTGCTCGGCGGGGAGTCTGCTTCTCCCTCTGACCCTCCTCCCTCTCATTCTCTTTGTCTCAAATAAATAAATAAAATCTTTAAAAAATAAATAAATAAATAAATAAATAAATAAATAAATATTGGTTTTGATTTCACCTCTAATTGTCCATTGCTACTAAATAAAAACCTTTTCTGTTTCAGTTTCCTCCTCTGTTAGAGTGGGATAACAACAATACCTATTGCACAGGATTCTTGGCGAGGGTTAAAGGAATTCATGGACCTGGAGTGTGAGTATCACTTCTCAGGTGCCTTATCATTCATCTCATGTTAAAATGGTTTATGCATATGGTTTAAAATTGAAGGAGGTTTAGCAAACAAAACTCAACTGTGAAGTGTTGCTCTTTGTACACGTAAAAAGAACAACTACCCTGGAATGGTCTGTTTGAGTATGTGATATGGAAACAGCCTTAGTCTTTAGGTGTGGTGTGCTGGGTATCTAAACACAATAGTGGGCGGGCCCTTAAATGAGCTGGGGAAGAGGGAATTGGCTCTTGCTTTTTTCCCCTTTGTTATCATCATTATCATCACTGGTTACTCAGAGGTACCTTTTGTTACAGGATTAGTAGAAGGCTGCTTCTCATTATACTTTTATAGATAAAGTAGATACATCATATTTTGCTCTTTATAATAAGGGTTATTTACTTGGCAAAGCTACCCATAGTAGTATAAATGTTACTTACAGCTCATGCTCACTGAGTAACTGTAGCACTATTAGGAATCTCTATAACTGTGTGATCATACAACTCATTTTGAAATTACTAGCCAGTTCTCCCTAGTGGTTGTTGCTATCATTCAAAATAATTCTTTCTAGACCGTGTAAGCACTCAACTTAAAAACAAGATATATTGTTTCACTGTACCGTGATTTCTGGTTAATGGTAATAACTAAGACTGAGCTTATATCTATGTTTATTTGTCAACCTCTATAAATATAAGCTTACCAGATATTAAGATATTAAGCCTCATCCTTCTAAACTAAGCACAGATGTTAAGTTAGTAAGATTTCATCCTTCTAAATTAAACTAAGCATCTTGACGTGATGTCAAAATGATGTATTTGGCAAGAAAAAAAGGTAAATTTGGGGGGGCAGCAACTTAATGGCAGAAGTATTTATCAGTCTTTTCTCCCCAAACTAGACATTTTGTTGTACTGAAGCCAACTTTCTGGCTAATGTGTTTCTTGGTCATAAGTTGACAACAGAAATGGCAACCTGAGGATGTGGCAATTCTTCTTAGCTGGGATGGTAACATCTGGGCACACCCAAAGCCAAAGCAGCTGGCCAAAAGATGCTGGCTTCAACTGTGAATCTTAAGAGATCCAGCCACAGGAAATATTAGGGCAGCTCGAGGGAGCTGGCCTCACGTAGCTCAGAGAACCATCAGTCTTCCCCCTTGAATTGCCGGTGGTATGAGGAGCCTTCTATGTGCTCCATCTCCTGGGCTCTGGTCTCTGAACTCCCTCACCATTTACTTCACTTTGAGGTAAACTCTTCCCTTTCTTGTCTCTTCTGGTAAGCACTGGTATTTATCTGTCTAACTGGTGAATGAACAAAGACATAGTCCAAGTTTTCAGACCCATGTGACCTCAAATGGGTCAGCATTTTCTTACTCGGAGTGTATTTTCTCTGACGTTCTGTTAACTAACTCAAGGGTGTTTCAGCCAGCTAAGATGGGGAAGATGGGGAAACAAACTGATCAGTTGTAGGCTAGCAAAATTCTTGTGAGTCTGAAAGCTTAAGGAAGGTATATGAGAAATTATGTTATTTTCCACCTCATTTGGAAAGAATTGGCATCAGAGGGATTCTCAGAGATCATTTATGCCTATCGCAGGCACAATGTAGCCTTTCCAGAAGGGAGCAGTCTACAAGGCAGATGGTCAGCTGGTTTCTGCTGGGATGCTCAGTGGGGAGGCGAGCTACCATAAGAAGCAGCCTTTCCCCAAGTTGCAGGAAAGCTTCTGAGGAGATCAAAATGAATCTGCTCCTTTCTAACTGTCACCCCATTGGTTGAACTGAAATAACCCCCAAAAAAGTCTAAAGGCTCCTCTTGTAGTCACACAATAGCTTTCTAAATGCTGGAAAACAACCATCAAAGTCCTATAATCTTTTCTTCTCTAGACTAAACATCCTGTGGTCCCTCAATATTTCTATAACGCTTGGTTTCCTGGTCACTCACCAATCTAGTCTCCCTCTTCTGTAGGCCGTTTTATCAAAGATGACCTTCTTAGAGTGTTGTGTCTACTCCCGACAGGGTCTAGTCAGTGGGACTATTTTCTCCTTTGAGCTGCATGTCATAGGCCAATTAGTTTGCATTTGCAGGTACATCAGATGATAAGATGTCACCGTGCCCGCCTGGAGCCCGGTGCCCAGCAAGCATTTTAGGATATTGACTGAAGGTTTGGGCTAATGAAAAAGTCTGCAGGATTTTTTTTTTTTTTTTTTTTTTTGGAGTGTGGAAATGACAGTTCGCTCTCATCTTGTACTTAAGCTATTGAATTTTTGAAACTAAATGCAGGACTTTTTATTCATTCCTATTAATTTCAACTTGGTGGGGTACCTGGGTGGCTCAGTCGTTAAGTGGCTGCCTTTGGCTCAGATCGTGATCCCAGGGTCCTGGGATCGAGCCCCGCATCGGGCTCCCTGCTCGGCCGGGAGTCTGCTTCTCCCTCTCCCTCTCCCCCTACTTGTGTTCCCTCTCTCTCTGTGTCTCTCTCTGTCAAATAAATAAGTAAATAAATCTTCAAAAAAAATTTTCAACTTGGTTTCAGCATGAAGTTCTTATTTATTATCACCACTATTTATATCATTCAATGTATTAGCTTTTCATTTCTCACTCCCAGCTTTGTGTCCTCTAGATATTTAACAAGCATGCCTTACTTCTTTTTAACTGTCATTTATAATGCAGTAGAAAAAAAGAGGGCCAAGGTGGGGCCTTTATTATAAGTAATTGGATATCATGTTATATACCGTCTATCCTATTCCAAAATTGTTTCCAACTAGGTTGTAGGTCCTTTAAGGTCAGGCATGATGTCATAGTCTTCTCATACATGCAACAGTGAAAATCACTTACTAGTCCTAAGTAAATACCTGCCATGTAGATTACCCAGGACATGTTATTTTCATCTCATATGGATGCAAATAAACTGGGCTAAAAGAAGGCAAGGGGCATTACGGGATGCAATCACCGGAGTCTGGTTCAAATTCAGGGACTTGTCACCATCGTCTCTGAAAATATTTAATAAACATCTAATTCTATATATTGGTATCGAGAATACTTTGTGGATCTTTGCATGAACTTAAAAATGTAGGATCACCATACAGATCTTACACAGTCTTTTTATTGGCTGGCCACAGTAAAAAAAATACAAGGAGCTAATACAGTTCCTGTATACAAAATTCAGTTATAGGATAAATGAATAATGCTAGATTATATGGAACCCTCAGGAGAACCCTGTAAAAATTCATCCCCAGGACAGCTCTGACTTGGTTCCCAGGTACCTTTCATGTCAGACTGGGCTCCGTGGACTTAGTGAAGTCCAGATCCATATCACTGATGTAAAGCTGGTAACACAAGCTGGTCTTTGAACGTAAGAAGCAGGAGTGCTCTTTTTATTACTTTAAAAACCATCCTCCAACTCCCTTTTATTATTTTTTTTAAAGATTTTGTTTATTTATTTGACAGAGAGAGAGACACACACAGCAATAGAGGGAACACAAGCAGGGAGAGTGGGAGAGGGAGAAGCAGGCTTCCTGCTGAGCAGGGAGCCCGATGCCGGGCTCGATCCCGGGACCCCGGGATCATGACCTGAGCCGAAGGCAGACGCTTAAAGACTGAGCCACCCAGGCGCCCCCTCCAGCTCCCTTTTAAAGTGGGCACTAAAATCACCTTTGACCTCCAATAGATCATAGTTTAAATTCAACCTAGTTTGTTTTTAAAAGATTTCCATGCTGATCAAGATGATGCTTCAGTGGAGAAGGCCTAGGGGGCCCAAAATAGACGCACCATCATGAGTCAGGCAGCATGCACCACCATTACTCAATACATTGTATTAAAGCATCGTCTGTCCTGGAGCATCCTTTAGGTACAGAGCTGTTTCCCAGAGTTCTAGATTTCCCAGATCGAAAAGAAACAAGGTATGCTTGTCCAATACCTTCTGCAGAGCAGGAATTAGTTTATAAAAAAAAAAGAGTGGGGAAAAAAAATACAGGGCAAGGGGACCCAGTTAGTTGTAAGAGGGGTGGTTGCTGTGAAAGGTTTGGAATGCCAAGGTGTCAGGTTCATCACCAGTAGGGACCAAAGTGGGTTAAGAGAGGAAAAGACACCATACACTGCTGTCAAGACAAATCCCTTCTCTAACACTAGCTGCTCTACCTTACTACAAAGCCTTTGCAACACTCCGTTTTCTCGTCTGCAAAGTGATGGGGTAATAACCTAACGGTGCCTACCTT